TGTCTGACCTGTTTGGTGAATGTGTTGTCAGACCTTTTTGGTCAATGTGTTGTCAGACCTGTTGGTGACTGTGTTTTCAGACCTCTTTGGTGAATGTGTTGTGTGACCTGTTGGTGACTGTGTTGTCAGACCTGTTTGGTGAATGTGTTGTCTGACCTGTTTGGTGACTGTGTTGTCAGACCTGTTTGTTGAATGTGTTTTCGACCTGTTTGGTGACTGTGTTGTCTGACCTGTTTGGTGAATGTGGTGTCTGACCTGTTTGGTGAATGTGTTGTCAGACCTGTTTGGTCAATGTGTTGTCAGACCTGTTGGTGACTGTGTTTTCAGACCTCTTTGGTGAATGTGTTGTGTGACCTGTTGGTGACTGTGTTGTCAGACCTGTTTGGTGAATGTGTTGTCTGACCTGTTTGGTGACTGTGTTGTCAGACCTGTTGGCGACTGTGTTGTCAGACCTGTTTGTTGAATGTGTATTCGACCTGTTTGGTGACTGTGTTGTCTGACCTGTTTGGTGAATGTGGTGTCTGACCTGTTTGGTGAATGTGTTGTCAGACCTGTTTGGTCAATGTGTTGTCAGACCTGTTGGTGACAGTTTTTTCAGACCTCTTAGTGATTGTGTTGTCTGACCTGTTGGTGACTGTGTTGTAAGACCTGTTTGGTGAATGTGTTGTCTGACCTGTTTGATGACTTTGTTGTCTGACTTGTTTGTGACTGTGTTGTAAGACCTGGTGGTGACTGTGTTGTCAGACCTGTTTGGTGACTGTGTTGTCAGACCTGTTTGGTGAATGTGTTGTCTGACCTGTTTGGTGACTTTGTTGTCTGACCTGTTGATGACTGTGTTGTCAGACCTGTTGGTGGCTGTGTTGTCTGACCTTTTGGTGAATGTGTTGTCAGACCTGTTGTGGACTTTGTTGTCAGACCTGTTGGTGACTGTGTTGTCAGACCTGGCGGTGACTGTGTTGTCTGACCTTTTGGTGAATGTGTTGTCAGACCTGTTGGTGAATGTGTTGTCAGACCTGTTAGTGACTGTGTTGTCTGACCTGTTTGGTGACTGTGTTGTCAGACCTGTTTGGTGAATGTGTTGTCAGACCTGTTGGTGACTGTGTTGTCAGACCTGTTTCGTGACTGTTTTGTAAGACCTGGTGGTGGCTGTGTTGTCAGACCTGTTTGGTGACTTTGTTGTCAGACCTGTTGGTGACTGTGTTGTCTGACTTGTTGGTGACTGTTTTGTCTGACCTGGTAGTTACTGTGTTGTCTGACCTGTTGGTGACTGTGCTATCAGACCTGTTTAATGACTGTGTTGTCAGGCCTATTGGTGACTCTGTTGTCAGACCTGGCGGTGACTGTGGTGTCAGACCTGTTTGGTGACTGCGTTGTCAGAACTGTTGGTGACTGTGTTCAGACCTGTTGGTGACTGTGTTCCGACCTGTTAGCTCACTATACCCCCATCCGTCATTGTTGGCAGCTGCCTGCGATAGGTCTACATAGAACCCTGGAAATAATGAACCTGAGATAGTGCTGTCTCAGGCATATGCCACAACTGTCCCAGGCACGGAATAATTCTTTGAACACTTCCCGAGCCGGCAAATAGCACAACTCCTGCAAATAGCACAACTCCTGCAAATAGCACCAACTTTGTTTTGGTTCGCAGGGTTAGTGTTCTTGTTAGGTTTGTATCTGTAAACTAAACGTCGGGTCCACTGTCCATGACAGCTGTACGGTTGTCAAGATGTACTTAGAGAGACAAAAACGTCAGGGCGACTGTCCATGACAGCTGTATGGTTGTCAAGATGTACTTAGAAAGACAAAAACGTCAGGGCGACTGTCCATGACAGCGCTACGGTTGTCAAGATGTACTTAGAGAGACTAAAACGTCAGGGCGACTGTCCATGACAGCTGTACGGTTGTCAAGATGTACTTAGAGAGACAAAAACGTCAGGGCGACTGTCCATGACAGCTGTACGGTTGTCAAGATGTACATAGAAAGACAAAAACGTCAGGGCGACTGTCCATGACAGCTGTACGGTTGTCAAGATGTACATAGAGAGACAAAAACGTCAGGGCGACTGTCCATGACAGCTGTACGGTTGTCAAGATGTACATAGAGAGACAAAAACGTCAGGGCGACTGTCCATGACAGCTGTACGGTTGCCAAGATGTACATAGAGAGACAAAAACGTCAGGGCGACTGTCCATGACAGCTGTACGTTGCCAAGATGTACATAGAGAGACAAAAACGTCAGGGCGACCATGGATGACAAAAATGTCAGGGTGACTATGGGCGACAAAAACACTTGCATATATTTGCCGTAACCAATATTTTTATTACATTATTTTGCGAAATGATGACCACGTGAGACGGGACATGAGTCACGTGACGTATCACGCTGCTGTCAAGCGATTTTTGTCACCAATGTTGTAATTAATTGAAGATTTAAGTTTGTTTATGTCATACAAACAAAAAAGCAGTGCAATATCTGTACAGCGTTATGCCAAGTGTAGTTCACTGAGGTAATCAGTGTTCTATAATATGTCATGTAATACTCTAATAGCATTTTGTATTGAGGGTTTTGAGTGGCTCAGTATTCAAAAAAAAAAATGTATAAAAGGGGAGAGTACTCAGAAAGTATCAAGGGTTTATTATTATTATCTGATTACTGTTCCTGGTGTAAATAACATGAAGGTGAACCGAACAGCAAGAGCGGATTTAACGCCATTTTGTTGCTGTTTTTTGTTTTGTTTTGTTATTTCAAATTCAGCCCACTTTACGATATCCTATTACCTTCCCCGATAAATCACTTTAAAAAAGTTTACTTTAAATTTACTTTTTGTGATACTTTAATTGTTCTTTATAGTTAACCGGTCAGATATTTTATTGTTGGTGTACCCTCGAAGACGAAGACATCTATTTATGTACCCGAAAATATATTTTTATTTGGGGCCGGAGTGGGGGGGGGGATTAATCCTCAGAGGAGCAAAGACCCCATGACCTGGAGCTAACAATTTTGCTAAGTCTGTTGAATAATTCTTGATAAATGTGTACACGTAATTATTTTAACAATGAATATTTAAAACCAGCAAACGGTACACCAGCCATGTATGTTTATTGATTACATTTGATGGCTTCTTCTCCCAAGCTACAAAACATCAGATGAGTTCTTTTATTTATTGGGTTGTTCCGGTTGTTTTCGTTGGCCGAAGACGTCAGCTCTGCGCACACTTCCGGTGTTTCCTTTTCTCTCCTTCGTCATCTTTTCCTTGTTCGACTTGCTTCCCTTCTTAACAACAGACGTGAAGAGTTCCTTCCAGTCGTCTGCTCATTTCAACGACGTCTTGATGCTGACTTTTGCTCATGCCAACAATCCAAAAACATTATTGTTCTTAAAGTGCCAACGGGTGTACACAAGGCAGTGTACACAAGGTGTAACCCGCGTTGTCTTTTCTTGCCAACTCTTTTATGTGTACAGCTACATGCTATGTTTATGACAAGGCTTTGTATAAACGGCTGCTCAAAGATGTCTGCTAATTTGGTTTGAATAAATTTATTTGTACAATTCTTGTTGTGTTCTATTTTAATACTTTCATTAATTTTTATTGAGGGTCTGTGTCGAAATATTTTGTCATTTAAATGTGCGTCTTTTATTTACTCTGTCTACTTCATTCAATTCATTTTGTTTTTCGCCAGCGATTTCTCTCTCTCTCTCTCGATGTGTGTTTCTCTCTATCATCCTCTCTCCCTCTTTACTTCCCCTATTTCTTCCTCCCTCCCCCTCTATCTTCCCCCCCCCTCTCTCCAAGATATACCCTAATAGTAATAGAGTATAAAGACATTGTGTCAAA